TCGAACACCTCCCGGGCCTCCTCCATCGTGCAGAGTTCCTCTTTACACTCCCGCTCCAGATTGTCTTTGTGAAGTTCTTCAAGATGGCCACTGTTGTATCTGCGGTAGCGAAGCAGCACTGTGTGTGCCGCCTGCTGAGACAAAAACACATCTCCTAAAAAGGTAACAGAAGACAAAGTGGAAGTTATTGAAACAGCTCTGACGTTATTCTCCAGCGGTACCCCTAAAAAACTACATTTTCAGTCTATTGGAGTTTTTAACGTCTGACGCTGTCAACCAAGTTTATTGGACACAGTCTCAGTAATGTCCAAGGGATTTGGTCACACCTATAACTTTTCTTTGTCTTGTTCCTATTTGGTAGATGATGATGATGATTTTGAGTTTTGGAGATACATTTTCTATAATGTTTTGGGGGGGTACAACTTGAGGCTATTTACATTCTGGTGAATTGGACCTATTATAAATACATTACAGTAAGTTTGGCCACGCCCTGACAAACATGATGTTTTAATTGAACAGATGTAAACACAGCCTTTCCGTGGGTAAGGAACAGAAACCACAATATTTGCAGAAAACATTCAAGCATTAAAAATCTAAAAATGGAAAAATAATTGGGGCATGTGCAATGGTTTAGGCAACCCTACCACTGTCAGTACTTATTAACCCCCACCCAGCAGATATCACAGCTTGCAAACAGTTTTTGTAACCAGCTGTGAGGCCCCAGGCCAACTTCTCTTGAGGTGGTCCATTGAGGATAGGAGTGGATTAGGATCATTATCCTGTTGTAGAAACTTTCCTCCTTTCAGCTTCAGCTTTTTAACAGATGCTGTGATGTTTGTTTCCAGAATTTGCTGGTATTTAGTGAAATCCATTCTTCTCTCTGCCTGTGCAATGTTTCCTGTGCCACTGGCTGCCACACAACTCCAAAGAATGATAGATCCAGCTCCATGCTGAACAGTTAGAAAGGTGTACTTTTCATGAAATGCTGGTCCTTTTTTCCCCCCCAAACATCCCTTTACTGATTGTGTTCAAATAGTTCTATTTGAACTTCATTAGTCCACAGCACTTGTTTCCAAAAAACATCAGGCTTCTGTAGATGTTTTGTTGAATACTTCTGATGTTGGATTTTATGATGTGAACACAAGTAAGGTTTTCTTCTACTGACTCTTCAATTAAGGTTTTGTATGCTTAAGTCCACTAAATCTTCCTGCACCCAGGGTTTTTCTTGGTCTTCCAGATCTCATCTTGACCTCTACAGTTCCCCTAAATTGCCATCTCTTAATGACATTTCACACTGTTACTGTCACACTGCTATTTTCTTGTAGCCTTCTCCTGCATTGTGGACATCAGTCAGGCGTCAATAACTTTCATTTTCAGAGTCTTACACAGCTGCTTAGAGGAACCCATGGTTGGTGAGGGTTCACATAAGGTCTGAAGAGTCAGAGTATTTGTAAAGCTTTTTAAATTGGCACCAGCTGATGCTTCCTAATCACAATTGTTGACATGCCTTAGGCCAAAGGAGTCTGAGACCTTGTAAAAAATAATCTTAGGCTGCAGAACTCTTTGGGTCCCCAGACTTTTGCACATGCCACAGTGATATTTTTATTTTTATTTTCGTTCAGTGTATGAAATTAAATGAAACAATGCATAAATGCTTGCTACAAATATTGCATTTTATTTTCCATAACCTAGAGTGGCTGTATTTACATCTTTTCAATAAAACCAAAAAACACCAAAATGTGTTATTTTTCAAGGGGTGGCCAAACATACAACTGTATGCCAAATTACATATGAGCAGTTCCTGTTTACAATGTACACATGGATGCACAGACAATGCTACTTGATTACTTTGAGACTGAAGAAAACAAAAAAGAAAAGTTGTATCTTTGTTTCTGATTTCTAAGATAATCTATGGAGGTTTATTGGTGATGATCACTATCATCTGAGTCACACTGAATCCAAACATATGTGTTTCATATCTGTGTGTTCAGATTTGAGTTATGACTCTAAAGTAGTTAAATTGCTTCCATGTGTTTCACAGCCACTGCTGCAGCTCGTGTTCATACACAAATGTATGTATGTTTGTAGAACACCAGCCTGCATGTGTCTCTTTCACACATGGGTGTACTATTAGAGAGGTCCTCGACTACATCCATGCTTTTATCTCACCAGTATCTTGAGCTCACGTTTAGATGTACAGCAGAGAACTGTGTTTTTATTGCAGGACTCGTTCCAGTTTTTTTTTCAGCATTCAAATCAATTGTATCCAACATAATTCAATACCACTTCATACCACATCTGCTGTCCTCTATGACAGAGGAAATCAATAATTTTCTTTCAAACCTACAGTGTTTGATAATCCAAACATATTTTCGAGTGTTGTTACTTTGGGGTCAGAGGTCAGGCATTTAAAAATGAACAAACAATGATCAACTGCCTGACCACCAGGCTCTTCATATATATCTCTGACCTTTGGCTGCCTTCTGCCTCCTAATCCATACCTGCTCCTCTGTCGTTTACCTGTCTTTTCCTCTGGTATTACGGCGGCCAGTCCGAACCCCTCCAGCATTAAACAAGCAATGAAAGCCAGTAAACCAACTCTGGCCATCTTGTCATTCAGTTGTCCGTCTGCTTTTGCCTGAACTCGGTATGAGAGAGACTGATTCACTCCAAAGTACAGCAACACACTATTTACTCACCAGGGAGGCCACAGAGTATGTGTGTATTTGTTCACTTGTGTGTGTGTATATGTGTGTGTTTGTGTGTGTGTGTGTGTGTGTGTGTTTGTTTGTTGACATTACTAGCTGTTAATCATGTTGCTTATCATGATGAGTCCTGTCCGATAAGCAGCTTTTTGCTTTTTGCGGCATGACTTACCTGACCATTTCAAATGGGGTAAACATGCACACCCACACACGTTTGTACTTTGGTATTTGTGAGGACCCTCATATACTCCCTAGCCCCTAACTGTAACCACAACAGCCACCGCAAATGTTTCCCTACATAACCTACATCTAATTCTGACCCCAAAGAGTTTCACAGAGACGATGTAACCAAGAAAAAACAGTACTATTATACTATACTATACTACTATAGTATTATTTATTTTACAATCAAAAAGTTGAATTTATTAGCAATAAAAAAGCATACTTGCGTAATTCAGTACACTCAGAGGTTTTGCCTCACCGACACTTATTTGGTTCAGTATGACCGTACTGGTCAAACTGAACTTAAGATAGCTGTTAGCGAACTAGATAGATATTGCTTTGTAACTGACATTACCAAGTCAGCTTTCTGACTTTTTGACTCTTTTTGTTTTTTTGTGCTACCCTTAGGCATTAACCACTGTGCCCAAATTATCACTTGTGGTAACAGTGGCTTTCTATCTCTCTATCTCTCTCTCTCTCATCTCTCTCCTCTTCTGTCATCTCTCTTCCTGTCTCTACTTCTCCTCTCTTCTGCTCTCTCGTCTCATCCCAACATCGCACACACACACACAGCAGATTTTTAACTGCATTACCATTTGAGTGAACAAATGTTACTGTAGGCAGGTAAATCAGCTTAAAGTCATTTAAACACAGCCCGAGGACACTGATAATATAATTAAAACTCTTCACCTGGTGCTGCAATTTACACACTTAAGTAAAGAACACCCAAACTCAAAGCTTGATCCTGAGTATTGAAGGTTATTTGATTAGAGTGTGAGTTACACTGGGTGTGGCTGTAGACAGTGACTGACAGCCAGGCCAGCTGGCCATGAGCCAGCAGCTCCTTGGCAACATGGCCTTGTGGTGACTTATTGGCTGAGGATGATTTAAATGGGGTGAGGGGGGTTTACATCCCTCTTTTAAGTGGAACTTATGCAGCCTATTAAATTCATTCTCCTTGAAAACTATAGATTTTACAGCAGAGACAAAATTGTGAGGGAATATAGCAATTAGCACGTTCACTGTCCCTTTGGTAACAATTATGATTAAATCACTTCCCGCTGATTAGTGTCCTGGGAGCCGATCTGTCAGTGCTGTGAACAGCAGCTCAGCAGTGGAGGAAGGGGCCGCTGACATCAAGCATCTCAGATGTAAATGCACACAGAGAGGCAGAGCAAAGTGGGTTTAAACCAGAAAAAGCATGCTGGTGGGAAAGCTTGTCCCCAGTGTACAGAATCCCATCCAGACTGTGTATTGTTACATGACTGCTTATCAGATTTAAGTATATCTTGTATTTTTGCCTGCAAGTGGATTACATCAGCATTTATATAATCTGATTGTCTTTATTGTGGACAGACTGTAAACTGGAGAGGAAAAAGAGTTTGAAGAAAAATGGCACAATACTTGCAAAATACTGTAGCTAATAAGTAGTATGAAAGTATGAAAAGTTCTTTATCTTTTGTGTGATTCTTCAAGTATGATCTTGGAGGTTTGGGTGTGTATTGGACAGATTCTGACATGGTGCAATGATGAAGACTCTGGACGTAGGCCTGGGATCAAGTCAATAACCTCTTTTTTTTCCTCATGTAACCCTGTCATCAATCAATACAGAAACGTCCTCTCTCCTTCCCGGTATTATCATACAGCTGTTTTTCTGCCAGTGTGTGACTCATGAGGTCAATGTCTCTGCCATTAATGTTCCCTCACCCACACTGAACTGAGTGGTGTACAGTGGACCTGAGACCCGTTCACAATGCAGAGGAATTATTGTATTATAACTTGCAAGTGACTTACGTACCTGAGGATTTGTCAGTCTCTTTTTAAAATTGGCTCCAGGGTACACTGTTTTCACTGTGTCGAGAAGTCATTTGGAGTTGACTTCTGCCAGGCGTAGGGTTTGCCATATAGGAAAATATAATGAGGGATATTTCACCGATGACAAGACCATATTTTAGAGGCAGTTTAATTAAGCACATTTCCTATGCTTGACACTTCATTTGTCATTATCTGACTTAGTGTGATTTAATTAACCCTATGCACCCGTTGCACTAAGGAGGATGAAATAAGCTGATAGTTACCCAGTGGTATCTGACAACTATAACTGAATAAAGTATTTAAAGATAAATGTGTTCCTTTTACAAGTAAGTTGCCAACAGGGCCCTGTCTGTTTCCAGGGGCATTTTACCATAGTAGATTCTGCTGATGGGAACAGGAGCAGTCATATGTGGCACTTTTTGTTCTAACAGAGCAGCTGGTCCCAGAACAGTAATCCTCCAGGGGAGGCTCTGGCAGAGGGCCAGCTGTGCTTTGGTCTGTTGGCTCTTTTAGTAGCTGAAGTCAAAAAACCACTACAACTTGACGTCACATATAGACACGTTATACAAGAGTCAGACCAATTTATCATATGAGAAAATGTGAAAGATGCAGAGAGGAAGATTTAAGAAACAGCACTAACGTTTATGCTACGGCTAGGGGTCAAATAGGGAACATAAATATTCAATAAAACAAAGTATTTTCTATTTCTTTAGTTTTATTTATTTTTAATATTAATTGTTTTATTTTGTTTTGGGGGTAATGTTGTTAGTTGTGATTTAATTTAATTTCTAACTTTAATCAATTAATATTTTCTATATTACTTTTGTCAATCTACGAACAGCATGGTTCCCCTTCTGCTCAGCTTTTTCCTTTTTATTATTATTTGTTCGAAATACATGACACTGGCTATCTGTTTAAAAGCTTTAAACAGAGTCTTTAAACACTGAGACAAAGAAGGAATCAACCAAAAAACAGAATTAAAATACAGGCATTATTTAAGTGTGAACCAGTTTGAAGCCTACATATGGAGATTCTTGTTTTTCTTTCGGGTACATGGTATGTGATGGCTAATCATTGCTTACATAATAAAGCCTACATTGTGTGGAGAAACCTTGAATATGTTTTTTTACAGTCAACCATTCTGTCTTTATCACATGAGTAAAATCAGTGTATTTGCAAATATACTGTCAGTCTTTTGCAAGAGAGACTTAAAGACTTATTACGTATAAATAATATAATTCAGTCACACACAGTAAGGACACACAGAACTTTTCTCTGGGACAACTCTTTATCTAACCTTCTGTTTGTGGAAATACCAGTTCTAACATTAGCCTTAGGGTGATTTAAAGTAAATAGCTTAAACTTTAATCTCATTTTACGTAAAATGTTTGCATGAACTAGGTCTCCTGTAGTGAATTCTTGACAGTCCAAGGCAGAAACAAACAACATTGGGACAACTTCCAGCAGGTCAGTTAATGTAGGTTAACAGAAAACACTTTAATTTATCTCTGACCCAACTTCTTCACACTGGGTTCTAAGAAACTGAAGCTTTTAAGACAGTTGGTCTTGAACCAATATAGGCTTGAATAGATTGAACCAAATGGTGCTGCAAGAGAAGAGAAGAGAAGAGAAGAATACATCAGAATTTAGTATATGGAGTCTGACACTGATAAAAAAATGTCACAAAACAGAGATCAGGAAAAATAATATTATAGTATGTTGCACTGTCTCAGAAACAGAGTTGTATGAGTGGGTTGTTGTTCCTGCAGGACACTTGCAGGTTCAAGTTGTCACTCGTCAAATCTTGCATAGATATCTTTAGCTGTCATGTTTCATAGTCAGACGGACTGAGTCAGTATACTACTAGAGTACTAGAGTTTTATTATCTGAGAAGACAGTGCAGGCAATGGTGTAGTGCAGGAATATACCCCAGCATGTATCGAACGTATAGTGTTCTATAATCGTTAATTTCCATAATGCCTGAAGTCAAGCAGCAATAGTTAAGTGACAATGTGTAAAGACTACTGGCCTACTTTTGTGTTTGCTAAATATTCAAGACTATTTAGCTGGACAGGCCACTTTAAAAAAAAAAAAAAA